AGCATTGATCATCATTCACTTTAATTGAGACAAAACCTGTTAAAGCAATAAAAAATACAAGTTGAACATTCGTTATGGTTAAACAAATCACATACAGTATATATAAATATAGTGCTATGTAATGCAATATCGTGAAGTTTAAGTGCAGAATTTCACATTTCATTGTATTTAACGCATTGTCCAATCAGTTATGAGATTTTGCGGACACACATCATTAAAAATGCCACAGGAAACCATATACGTACGTACTTCGTGATATTGCATATCACTCCGTTCCTGGTATTGTTTATGAATTAATTGTGATGACATTATTGATCATAATTAACATTTCGATTACGTTTTGTACAACCAATCAAAAGTTACACAGATTTCATTTTGGTCGATCAACATAAACTATGATCGCTAAGAAACATTGCGATTATCAAATAATCTGGGCGGCAAAAAATTATTGTAAATTGAAAATTCTGGAAATTGGCAATCTAAATATATAGTTAAATAACAAATTTGCTAATATATTCACCATTTTTAGTTTGCTTTTTCTTTTTGTTTATCAGGGTGCATAACCATAACCACAACCATAACCAAGTGACTATATACAACGCCGTGAAACTTTTATTTGGATTAGCGGCTGTTGTGTCTAAATAAGTTTGATAACAATTAATGATAATATTTCTTTTCTCTGGATCATTTGTTGATAATAATATATCTGCATATTCTTTGAGCGCTTGAGGATCATTGGTTTCGTTATATTCCTTTTTTTTCTTATCAAGTTCTTGCTGAAGAAATTCTAGTGATTTTTTATCAATTTCCTCAGGCAGATCTTTTAGACATTGAATTCTATCTTCAATTCGTTTTAACAACTGAGAAGAATCTTTAATATAATTATTTTCTTGGTTTTTATAAAAACTTTGTTGAATTAATATTGATTGAATCACAGCTTCACGTGCCAAAAAATAATATTCCATAATCTCATTGACTTCAGCCAAATAATGGAAAATCCTACCAGCAGTTCTGTTATTGTCAATTTTATAATGCTCTCTATTAAATTTTAAAGCAAAACGTAATTGAATATCAGCTTCTCTTAATGCATCAAATTTTTTGATTTTATCTTGTTCAGCACGAGCAAATTCTAAATAAGCACGACCTAATTCGATATAAACTATTAACATGTCTTTTGTACGATTATTGTAAGAATAATCTAATTCAGCAACCGAATTAATTTCCAATAAACTGTTTTTTAAATAATCAATTGCTTTTAGAGGATTTGTTTTTGTTTCCCATCGAGCAGCATCGAGATAAACAAGTGATCTCATCTCAGAATTATTTTTAGTAAAGTCTGAATTCATCAAGTTATCTATAATTTTTTTTGCCTCTTGAAATCTTCCTTGTTTTTTATAAGCTGTCGCTAGGTTTCGACATGTATAAAATTGATCCTGGGCTTTGACATCGTCTAGATTTATAAATAATGAATGTAGGTGAAAAGATTGTTCAAGGTATTGGACTGTTAAATCTTTTTCTCTTGCATCTAAAATTTGCCATAATTTTATATTTACGGAAGCCAATTTATATAATATTTCTATGGCATACATTTTAAATTGTTCCAAATTATATGCGGTTGAGTCAATTTTTTTGGCAATAGATTGTTTTGTAGTATCAATTGACAATTCAGTTGATAAGCCAGTTGATAAGCCAGTTGATAAGCTAGAGAGTTCTGTTAGTATATCTTTACCTAATAAGTCTTCACTTAAATCTCGAGACTTAATGTAGCAAGATTTGGCTTCGTACAATAAATCCTGATTTTCATAATAACTACCAATAGCATAATATAAATCAATGGTCAAATATGAATATTCTGATTGCGTTTCTAAATGTATAATCACCGACTTAACATGTGGTAAAATATTTATCTGTTCCCACTTAAACTTATTATTAGGGCTAACATTTTCACTACGACGCCATTTTACTTTTTCTGTCAGGAACTTAATGAAGCAAGTTTGTAAGTCTGACAATTTAGCAATGTCAATTATGTTTTCTTTAACTAGTATATTCTGTTTAAGCATTGTCTGGTAAGAACAATGCATACTTATATTGCTACCTTCGCGTTCTATTAGCATAGTTTTCTTACATAATAAATTAATTAATTGTTCTGATTTTCGTTCAGGAACTTTTGAATAATACTGAAAATAATGGGTTAATAAAGATATTGGAATATTTTGACTCGGTAATAAACTACAAATTTGCAAAATCAATAATGCTATCAGACTTTCCTCTTTTAGAATTAGACTATTAGTGATACTTTGAAAATTTTTGAGAGTAATTAATAAAGCTTGCTGGGAATTTAAACCAAAATCTTTTAAAGGTTGTCCTAATTTTTCATTACTCTTTAGATAACTACCTATATCGCCACCTAAATTTTCGATAATATAATTAATTGCCTGCGTTATCCACACAAGATTATGCTCAAAATGAACAACTAATCGTTTTATTTGCTCATCACTGACTATTCTAATATCCTTTTCTATTAACATGTGCTTGATAATATCGATAGCTTCCTGTTCGGTGGATTGTCTTATACGCAACTTATGATAATCCCATTCTTCATGACAACTAATAATAATTATATCTGTGCTATAGTCTGGTAAGAATTTTTCAATGCTATGTTTTACTTCCTCACTATAAACATCATCAATAATTACCAAACAATTTTGTTCTTCTAATTTTCTTTTAATTGCTCCAGCCAGCTCATCATCTGTTAATTGTTCATAACCTTCAATTTGTAACGCATTTCCGATTTGTTTACAATTACTTAAAAGTGTATCTAGCTGATCTGCTACTAACCAAATGAGCAATTCGTATTCACTATCATTATTAATTGATCTTAATATTCTGTTGGCAAATTGTCTGGCTAATTGCGTTCTGCCTGTTCCTAAAGCACCGCACAAAACAACTGTGTGTTTCTCTTTAATAAGTTTTTCTAAATTCTGATCATAATTTCTATGAATGTAAAGCGGATTAAGTGGCGGCAGTTTTCCAATCGTTAACATTTGGACAATTATCACAATAGAAGGAAAAGTCTTTTATTACCTTTAAATTTTAACGTTAATAAATAAAATTTAATTGA